ATGTTAAGTGTGCAAGGGCTCTGAACATCCTCCGTGTCCTCTCTTCCAGCTCTTGGGGAGCGGATCGATGTTCTTTGCTCAGGATCTATCATGCTTGGATTCGATCCAAACTGGACTATGGGTCTTTGGTCTATGGTTCTGCCAGGACCTTGGCCCTGAAGATGCTGGACCCCATTCACCATCTGGGGCTTCGGCTCTGCACCAGTGCTTTTTGCACTTCTCCAGTCCAGAGTTTGTACACTGAGTCCCACAAACCTTCTCTTCGCCTCCGTCGTTTGCAACTTTCTCTACAATATGCTACTAAACTTCGATCCTTACTACGGCATCCCACCCGGGATTGTGTTTTTCTTCCTCGGTGGGCAATGCTCTTTCAGAACATACGGTCTGCTATTCCTCCACTTGGCCTTTGTATCCGGGCATTACTGGCTGAATTGGGTCTGGCATTGGATGACATTGCTGTTCCCAATGATCAGCTCATTCCACCATGGCTTATTACCATCCCATCCTGTGACCTTTCCTTGGGTCATCTGGGGAAGGCAGATACTCCCGATTGGAAGTACCATCTTCTTTTTGCTGAACATCTTTCGAACCATTCCTCTCTTCCCACTTACCCGGATGGTTCGAAGTCAGGTGACTCTGTAGGTTCTGCCATGGTTTGCTGTGGCTCGGTAGTTGCTCGCAGGATCCCCTCTACAGTTTCTGTGTTCACTGCCGAGTTATATGCTATTTCTCTTGCCCTGGGTCATGTAGAAGCTATGCAGTACAGCAATTGTACTACTTACACTCATTCTCTTAGCTCTCTACTGGCCCTGGAATCGCTTAACGTTAGTTCTCACCCTGTTCTCGTTGATATTCAACACCGATTGGATCACTTTTCTCTATCTTCTATTTCCATCCAGTTTTTCTGGATCCCTGGCCACGTCGGTATTCACGAGAACGAACTCGCTGACACCGCAGCTAAGTACGTCTGCTCTGGTGCCATCACGGCTGTGCCTGTCCCATACATGGACTACGGTCCTGTCTTCAAGGCGCGGCTTTGTGCCAGTTGGCAGTCGACTTGGAGTGAGCAACGCCATAATAACCTTTTCCAGATCAAACCTTCTGTTGGTCTTTGGCCGTCTTGCTTCCGTAAGGATCGGAAGGAGAAAGTAGTCCTGGCAAGGCTACGCATTGGTCATAGTTTTTTAACCCATCGTTTTCTTTTATCAGGTATTGACCAACCAATGTGTAGCCATTGTGACACTCAAGTCACAATAGCCCACATTTTACTGTCGTGCCGTCGTTACGACCGCGAGCGGCGGCACCATTTTAGACACATTTTTTCTAAAAGTTTGCCCCTGACGCTGGACAGTGTCATTGGTAATGGTGACACTGTCCGACTAGATTGTATTTTTTAATTTTTTACACACTATACGTCTTTTTAATTCTATATAAATCTTTTACCGACATGTGTTGATTTTAACTCGCTGTTTTTTTACATTTAACTTTTATCTACGTTCATTGCTTTTACCGGTTGTTTGGCGCAGATAGCTTAGCTGCTTTGCGCCATAAAACATCAACCAACCAACCTTTTAAGTAGATTAGTCAGCTTGATGGTTTAGTTCATTTTCTTCTTATTGCCTTAAAATTAGAAAGAACAGCCATAGAATTTTGCTCATAATAGTGCTAAATCCTATTTGTTCGACGGAATTTGGTCCAATCATCATATTGTTTGGGCTTTTCCGTCGTACTCAATAAAATAAACTCTCGGATGAAATATAGGAATACACATCGACTTAATAAGTTTTGGTGATTCGCCTTCGGCTAAGAACATGTATTATCATGTAGAAAAACTGTACATTTTTCACTCTTTTCAATAAAATTATCATGCTGTAATCATGTTTCACCTACTAAAATAATGGTTTTTGTCGTTAAAGTTGGAGATAATCAATGATTTCAAACTCTCCACGAAAATACTTATCACCTTCAACGTAAACAACCCTTGGGCAGTAATACGCATGCATGTGACATATTTGTTTGTTGTTAAGTGCAAAGCTCCACAATGGTCTGTCTGCGCTGTGCCCATTACGGGTATCGAAACTTGTGTTTTAGCGTTATGAGCTTTCAGAGTTGCAGCTAAGCCACTAGGGGCACGCGTATAACAAAAGCGAAATAATCGTCCAAATACTATCCTTCTTGTAACTTACACGTGATATTCTGGTAATATTGCTGGTATTTTCTCGGTTATTATAGTAATTTAGTATTTTTTATTTCATTCAGTGAAGGTAATTTTACTTGTGAACTTATTTTAATTCAAAAACACTATTGCTTATAGAAGCTTTATCTTCAGTCTTTCGGTTTCATCTGTAACATTGGCACTATGTTATTGTCAGTCATCTAGTTAGCGTTAACTTTGAGTTTGACAGTTAAGTATCGAAAGTTGTTCAAATATGCTTTTTAATTACACCCGAGAGTGATTTTACGAAGTACAACGGAAAAGTCTTACCGATGTTCAGATTGTATTTGGACATGGGATCACAGTGGCAGTACATCGCGTCTGGTTAGAATAAAGACGTATTGTTTAAAATGGGTTAATAAAAAAAGTACTTCTATTCTACTAAGTACCTTGATAAAATGAAGATTTCAGGTAAAATTGTAATTTCTTCTGCAGACTGTAAATTTTTTGACATAAAGAATTTTCTTGTCGTGTCATGTCATGTGGATCAGACATAATTGCCCATTTTGCGTTAATTAAACACATACATTAGACAATGTTCCCTCTCATTTTTTTAAATCCATGTGCGGAATGAAGTTTTTCGGGTGTACCAGTATCAAGGCAATGTGCGGATGTGCCTTACCAGTTTTTTATTTTTCTGGGGGGGGGGGATTTTTAGACTATCAACCCTACTGAATCATTAGGCCACTTATTTGGGCTTTAGGCATATCGACTGCTAGGGTCTCAAAGGCCGTCAACGTGTTAAGACTCCTCACCATTACTGGGGAGTGCGTGGCTGGAATAATTAAGTGCGCAGCATTTCATTGGTTGTTTTGGGGCGCGCAGCTTAGCGAGAACACTACTTATAGACCATCGTTTCTACACCGTTTGCTAAATATCTTACTGGTTGTCTAGTAATTCTGCGAAATTACAATGCGTATTAATCACAACAAAATCTCGGTGATGTATTTTATTTCACATTCTGTAGTTTTGTGATTACATTGTTTGTTTGTTTTAGCACAAAGCTAGACAATGGGCTACCCTGCTCACTTGTTACTGTGGGGAATCAAACCCTCGATTTTCGAATTTTAAGTCCATAAACCTACCGCTAAGCCATCGAGGAACCTGTGCCTAGAAGACTAAGATGTCACTATTCGAAATATCTTTGATTTGATTTTTGAAAGAAAGTTTAAAAGCATAGAAATAATAATAAAACGTCAAAAAGTGATGTGTTTTAGGCTACATAGAAATTAGATTGCCAAATGTTTGCCCCCCCCCCCAGTAGCACAGCGGTATGTTTGCGGACTAACAACGTTAGAATCCGGGTTTCGATACCCGTGGTAGACAGAGCACAGATAGCCCATTGTGTAGCTTTGTGCTTAATTACAAACAAACAAACAAGCCAAATTTTTAATATCTTAAGAGTCTATTCTGTTTTACAACTCATTTCGTCGGTAACATTTTAAAAACGTTAGGTTGCTTTGTACAAGCGCAAGACCTTCAAGTAAATATGATTAAAATAACTAACTAACTAAGAAAGGATGAATTAAAAATGGAGGTGTGTCCTTCAGGTTGAAAGCGCTCTATCTAATAAAAAGTAGCGTAAGTATAAATAAAAAAGCTTTACAAAATAATTATTTAAATAAGCATTGGATAAGTACTAGTTTATAATCACTTATAATTATTTAAAGATGTGTGTCAGTTTAATTTTAAATCACCGATTACGTTCCTGCTTCTTCTTCCTCGTCGGCTCCTCTTGTAAGAATTTGAGCAAATTTCTTTAAGTCGATTTTACCATTGTTGTCCATTGGAGCTTCTTTGAAAGCATCTTCAACCTAGCGTTGGTAAAAGAATAATAAAATAACCAAGGGGATATTTATATATCTAACCAAATATATATTTTAGTCTTAATGCGAGATGGCCAAGCATTATACAAAAAACTGTAATGTTACTGATCGGTGTTTACATAAATAGTTAATATTAACTTCTGATCGTAGCGGGATATGTACTTTAGGCGAAACTAAATATCAACCTGGCTGTAATATAGCTAATTAAATACACCCTCTATACTTACATTCGTCACAGTTAGTTCCATGGTAATAGTGTCTTTTTTAAAGCTTCTTCTTATTTGGGGGTTAATTTATTGTTAAGTGCTAGGCTACACAAGAGTATATCTGTTCTGCACACTGCGTGTATCGAAATTCGATTTTTATTGTTATAAGCTCCCAGAACTATTGCTGAGCCACATGGGGTATTGAAAGGAATCCCTAACCGCAATAAATTGCAACACTGCCTTAATAACACTAAGCATAACGAATGAAAGTATATGTGTTGTAGCTTAAAATAGCTACTAATTTCATTCTTTCATATACCTTTATTCGGGTAAAGGCTGCATGCGGCAACTAAGTTGTATCACTTTGACTAATTATATTTATATAGAATAACAGCTGTTATGATGTAAACGCCTTTTTGAAAAAAATAAGGAGAAAAGGACTGCTCATAATCGAGACAGGACAACATAATGTCGATTCTTCAATGTAACATAAGGTCTGGACAAAGGAACAGGAAAAATACTATAGTAAAATGACCAACTGAAAAGTTTGACCAAAGCTGAATCCATGTCTGCTCAATAGATTAGAACAAACGTAATACCTAACGGAATGTTTAGAAGTAAAAGACAGAGTTACTTAGCAATTAAGCTAATTCATTACCAAGAATTCCTGTATGTTAATGAATCCAAATACATATTAAGTGTTGGCTAGTATAGACAACATAGGAATGAACTAAACGACATTCCCACAGAGAAGCAAGGTGAGTGTTTGGTATATATGAATTCAGACTTACTTAAGAATCGGAGGAAATAATATTATGATAAAACAAAATCCGGAAACTATCAAATCAAGAAAATGCGAATAGAAGGTAGACAATTCTGCAGCATAACTGCCAGAATAAGCGAGCTGTTTATAAGTTTACGCAAATTTAATGGCCATCTTTCGAATAAATGAGTCATAAGAAACATCAATATAAGTTACATATAAATTCCTGAAAATTTAAAGTTCTTTATCTCGTATGTATTTAACTATAGATGCTTAAAATTTTGTTAGTATTAAATTACATGGTTACTTTATACCGGAACACAAATATACATTGTAAAAAGATTGAACACCTTATTAACAAACCAACTCGAAAGATGCAGTCATTCCGATTGAAGAATAAACTTGTTTAATTTAATATATCAGTTATATAGTTAAAGTTTTCGTTTCTATTCTAATATTAGATAAGTGTATTGTTGTTTTGAAGTAATTTCAAATTGTATACTCTAGGTTTAATCCATTAAACATATACAAGTTAATTATTTTATTAAAACTTATTAACATTTTGATATATTCAAACTTTACAATAAAATTGTGATATTTAATGCAGATACACAAACATATTCTATTAATATAGATCTTTAAAAAATTATTTACTTTTTTCAAATTTAACTTCACATATAAAGTGATCAATTTTGTTTTTTACCTCCTTATCAGAAAGTTTTTCACCCCAGGTCATCAAAGCATGTTTTAAGCTGAAAGAGTAAATTATAATTATTATTCGAATTTGTCATTGAAGTTAAACAAAACTTAATGTATTTTAACTTTTGTACTAATTATAAGAAAATATTTTTTGGCTGCTGAGTCTTCCGACATATTTAATTGGTAACCTGACATGGATGATTTTGAGGATGAGGAAAGGAATATTTAAGTCCTGGTCAACCTATAGTTCTATACGCTGGGCTGGGCGTTTGCCCGACTTGGATTTATAAGTAACCTCTTTTTTGTTTACCACCACTAACCATAGGCAGATATGAGGGAGCAAAGGGGGAGGGGCTTTACTCCTCCAAAATTGGTTTCTGCCCCCCATCAAAGGTTTCCCATTTTTAAATTTATGCAGAGCCAATGTTTTTTACAACGCTTTTAGCTTACAATTTTCTGGGGGCATGTCCCCCCCCCACAGCAATAGCATACTGAGTGTGCTTCTCACACTATGACCAGTTTTAACTTGAGAGCATTATAGTTATTCAACTTGCCTCTCTCCCCTTCCACATATGTGTTTGCTACTAGATACGTCCGTGCAATTAAGCATATTTTTAGCCGCGACATTACGGCTCATAGAATAGCTTTGAGCTTGTTTGTTTTTTCTTTTTCAAGTACAAACTTTTAGCTCGTAGCTCCGTCATCTCTTGACCGATTTGAGATCTAATTATAGTTTTAAACTCAAGAGGTCGATTGATGTATTTGACCATGCCCAAGGTCTCATATATTAATTTACTCAAGTCGTACCTAAAATTATTTCACTTTTTGAGGGTAGGCTGGTAAAAACCTAATGAGTAATAAAATCTAATCGGGTATACGCGCGCCCCACGCTTCTTATTGCCGGCGCACACAAATATAGCTAATAAAAAGGAAAATAAAGGTCTCATAGATGAATTTACTCTAATCCTGCCTAAAAGAATTTAAAGTTCCGCGGCCGTTGAGGATTCCCTCTTGTTTTATCTTATATTTGGATTACCTAAGTTTTTCTACTATGTGAATATCTAGATCAATATTAGTTTTATTCATGTATGGTTCATGGTAGGCTAATAATATTCATAGGTCAATTTTAATACAGCTCACTAAGAAGTTAATTTCTTTTATTTGTTCTTCAGCCGCCCATTACGTTATACCATTGCGTTCGTAATCTCACTCAAATGAGATGAAAAGTATTGCAAGTGCCCGGCATGGCCAGGTGGATAAGGCGTTCGACTCACAATCTGAGGGTGGCGGGTTCGAATCCG